TGAAAATTCAGTCATTGGCAACCCATAACAATGGATGGGCCAAGGCCAGCAATTCAGTCATTGGCAACCCATAACGATGGGTGGGCCAAGCCCAGCAATTCAGTCATTGGCAACCCATAACAATGGGTGAGCCTATAGTACAAGAATTCAGTCACGGACAACCCATAACAATGGGTGAGCTTAGTCTGAAAATTCAGTCAATGGCAACCCATAACAATGGGTGGGACAAGCCCAGCGATTTAGTCATTGGCAACCCATAACAATGGGTGAGCCTATAGTACAAGAACTCAGTCACGGGCAACCCATAACAATGGGTGAGCTTAGTCTGAAAATTCAGTCAATGGCAACCCATAACAATGGATGGGCCAAGCCCAGCAATTCAGTCATTGGCAACCCATAACAATGGGTGAGCTTAGTCCAGCAATTTAGTCATTGACAACCTATTATAATGGGTGGACCAAGCCCAGCAATTCAGTCATTGGTAACCCATAACAATGGGTGAGCCTAGTCCAGCAATTCAGTCATTGACAACCTATTATAATGGGTGGGCCTAGCCCAGCAATTCAGTCATTGGCAACCCATAACAATGGGTGAGCTTAGTCCAGCAATTCAGTCATTGGCAACCCATAACAATGGGTGAGCTTAGTCCAGCAATTCAGTCATTGACAACCTATTATAATGGGTGGGCCTAGCCCAGCAATTCAGTCATTGGCAACCCATAACAATGGGTGGGTATAGCCCAGCAATTAAGTCATTGGCAACCTATTACAATAGTTTGTGGCATTCTTACTTGTCTTCCCTGGGCGTACCTGTTTCTCAAGAAACATGATCCTGTAATGATCCAAGAATTGGGATGGTCAATTGGTAACATCAATATCTAGATGTTCCCATATAGATTCGAAATGATTGAGAAAGCTGCTCCATTCGGCTCTCAATGAACCTGCCCAAACTAGGCTTTGTATAGCCCCCAACTATAAAACGCACAAGAGATAATCTCCTGATGATTGGTGGGGGAGCAATAGTTTGACTCCAACAAAATGCTCACAGTAAACCTAGTAATACATACAAAATTTTATTTTAATCTGTTAAAGACAGACTGGGTCAAATACTATGTAGCGGCAATCTACAAAACACGAGCCGTTGTACAGTCGTCAGTAGATAATACCGTACAAGAATCATCCATGATTGAAGTATAGCATTGTTTGACTATAATCACTGCACACTTAATATTCACATCAATCATATGATTACAATTGACATACATGTATGCACCTCTCACTTCTGGGCTTTGGGGCCAAGAGGTCTGTTTAGTTTTAAAATCAAAGTTGCAGGCACAGTAAAGGGTAAAGAGTCACCATGCATAATATACTTACTGTATAATGTTGAGAGAAAATTTTATATGCACAAAATAATGAAGAGACAGCAGTCCTACCGAATGCCTTCGTTTTTTCTTCATACTGTGGGACTGCCCATCATTAGTTTGAGAAAGTAATTCATCTCTGCTATCTGTGATTGATGGTCTCTTAGCACCACAAGAAGAATGACCATAGTCAAAGACTTGGCGATCTTCAATTGACTGCTTAGATTCATCAAATGATAGATGATTCCCTCTACTTGAAACAGGTTGCAGGTCTTTCATCTGGGATAACTTATGATCAGTACTCGATGGAAAAAAAGAAAGGCCACACACAGATGTTGGCAATTGTATATCATCAGATGGTGGCAGTACTCTCTGCATATCACCAGATGGTGGCTTTGCTCTCTGCATATCACCAGATGGTGGCTTTGCTCTCTGCAAATCACCAGATGAAAACAGTACTCTCTGCAAATCACCAGATGGTGGCTTTGCTCTCTGCATATCACCAGATGATGGCTTTGCTCTCTGCATATCACCAGATGGTGGCTTTGCTCTCTGCATATCACCAGATGGTGGCTTTGCTCTCTGCAAATCACCAGATGAAAACAGTACTCTCTGCAAATCACCAGATGGTGGCTTTGCTCTCTGCATATCACCAGATGATGGCTTTGCTCTCTGCAACTCACTGGATGAAGGCAGTACTCTCTGCAAATCACCATATGAAGGCAGTACTCGTTGCATATCACCAGATAATACATCATTATCAAGTGATTGAGCATATTGAGCATACATAGATTTTAACCATGCTTTCTGTGCTGGATTTGTGCTATCATCTTCTTCAACTGTTTCCATTAACAGCTGTACAAAGGTTGTTTCTTTTTTCTTGGCTTTCTGTGGAATAGTGTGCTGGGAAAACTGTCCTACTCCACTGAATTTATCTAACTGTTGTGATGCCATTTGGGTTGAAGTCCTTTGCTGAGAAAAGGGAGCTGGCATAGATGTAGTTGTAAAAGCTTTCCGTTGGGAAGTAGATGTAGCTGTAGCTAAAAAATCTTGTTGTTCTGGAGTAGGTACATTCAGTGATCTTCTCTTGTGAAAATAATCTGGAATAGGTATACCCAACAATTCTCTCTGCTGAGAGTAGGGACCGGATGAGGATGCAGAGTATGGACCTGAAGTAGATGGATCAAATCTTGAACTCCAGCTAGTTTGGTGCTGAATGGAAGATGCCCCAAATGATAGACTCTGCAATAGATGGGATTCATGTGATGGGATTCGCTTGTGATGCTCCTGAAGAATATCACCTCCACTAACATGGCTTGATGGCAGAGCTGTTTTATGTGCATAGTCTAGCACAACAGGGCATGTAGAGGCCGCATCTGATGACTCCTCTGGTTTGTGTTCACCACCCAACTCCTTCTGCATTATCTTGAGTAAATTCTCAATTTGTGAGTCAGATGGGACAGATTTTTGCTCTGCATTCTGCATCAACATTTGCAGCATTTGGCCACCTAGGTCTTCAAGAAAATCTTCAGAAACCATTTCATCACCTGAAAGTACATGTACAAAATCATATTCAAACTAACACCATCTGCACATGAGAAACATACAGTTTTCTTCCAGGCATATGCGCACAGTACCTGCACTAGTTGAATTACTCAGCTAGTGTTTATGGGATTGAAGATGCATATTACCCACTCATACAATCATTTCCTCATTGACAGACTAATTTACACCAAAAATGGGGAAATGCACAACTGAAGCATACACATAAATTTAGAGGAACACATCAGTTGTCCTTGTGAACCTCTACTCTTAGCTGGATGGGACTGACAGCTTTACCTCAACATCAGAATGGATGTCATTCACCCAAATATGGGCAGAATAGGCAAATGGGCAGAACATACTCTTTTTGCATGAGTGTGCAGTGTACACACTAACTATTCTGCCACAAATGGAATGTCAATGAAATGATCAAAGCATGTCTGACAAATGACTTCATATATGCAAAACCATGAAACAAAATGGCAACCAGTCAGCCATTTTGAGTCAAAATGCCAAACAAGCAGCCTGTCGGCTGAGATAGCTCTGCTATTAGCAATACACATTTCAATTAAAGAACTGAAGATATCATTAGAAAATGAACAGTATGTATAGTATCATAGCAATCGAACTTGCTGTTTTCAACAAGAATTCGAAAATATTACTTTTTACCAAAAATGATAAAAATAATCATTAAAATTAGATAATTGAAGATATCATCATAAAATGAACAAGAGAGCTTTATCTGAGGTACCTATATGTATAGTATCAAAGCAATCAGACTTGTGGTTTTCAACAAGAAGTCAAAAATATCATTTTTTACCAAAAATGACAAAAATATTCACCAAAATTAGAGAATTGAAGATATCATCATGAAATGAATAAATCTAAGAGAGGACCACATGTACTACCTACATGTATATATGTAATATCAAAGCAATCAGACTGGCGGTTTTTAACAAGAAGTCGAAAATATCACTTTTTACTAAAAATGACAAAAATATTCACCAAAATTAGAGAATGAAAGATATCATCACAAAATGAACAAATCTGAGAGAGGTCCACATGTATTACCTATATATGTGATATCAGAGCAATCAAACAGTTTTTAACAAGAAGTCAAAAGTCAGGCTTGTAGTTTTCAAGGAGAAGTAGAAAAAGTAAAAAGTTGACACGGACGGCAGACACAGGACGTCGAAAGACAATCACTCATAGTATAAGCTCCACTCGACTAAGTCGACAGCGGAGCTAAATATGAAGTGGACTCCATAGAGTCGCATTTACTAAATTATGTCATTTCACCCCTGCATACGTTTGTTTTCCCGGGCTGTTTCGGCCATTCACAAAGAATACGTTTTGCCCTCTCGCATAGGCCTTTTTGGCCACTCGCAAATTATACAATTTACGCCTCGCATACATCATTTTTCACCACTCGCATATGCTACATTTTCTACTTGCTACTTGTAACTTGGTAGTCACATTATGGTACTTATGGTATGACAGATATACATGTACTAAAGTTGGAAATCTATTGATATTGCCTTCATGAATTCTGAAGTACAGTAACCAGTTGGTAAGGAAATAAAGTATGACACACTGCCATTATTGAGCAAGACCTGTTGTCATACAATAACGAATCCTTTATTTCAATTATCTTAACAAATTGAATATATGTGTAGTAGATATAGATAGTGTGTGAAGTGCATCGTAGAAGCTTGTATGTTATGTTATGTTATGTTATGTTCAGTTATGCATAAAGCGATCAACAGCAAACAACATGTGAAAATATGAACATACCAGGTAGGTATTTTTTAGATGAAAATACCTATAATTTCTTAACATGAAAGAACCATGTTGGATTTGTTGTTGAAACGATCAGTTCAAATTTGGGGGGGGGAAATTGGACAAGGTACACACATTCTTATTTGTATGCTTGTGCATTGACGTCAATCACTGACCACTTATTGTCAGGTAACAGGGCTGCATGTAGGATCGATTGGTCAATGAAAACATAGCATTTCAATAATGAACAATGCCCATTATTATGATCTACTAGCCTCCATCAAGGTAGATATAGGACATAATATACAAACCTGACACTTACCTGTACCAATACCATATATTTAATACTCTATTAGAAGTGCATTTCCAATACAGTACACCACAAGTTGTATTTAATGTATGCTGGATCATTAGAATACAACTTATTTTGACCATAGACACACACATGTACATACCACTGCCGTATGTAAGCGATATGCTACTAATAGGGTAATTACGGTAACATGACCATAGACACACGTGTCATAGATGGTTGGTCACAATGCCCTGCTATACACACAACTGTGACGAGCTTAAATATAGCAATAGTATTTCTCTGTATAAATAATAAAGGTAAGCCAGGCAAACTGTTTGGTATTAGCATCTAGGCATTCGCCCTTGAAGCCACCAAGAAGTTCAAGCCATACTGTACCAAATTATGCAGATAATTTAACAGTGATGGATATATTGAAGATGGAGACAGATTGGCACCACGGCAATTAAGAAGAGATCTTGGATAATTCCAAGCATCGTTCTAACTAAATTACAACAAGATGTCATCTATGACTATGAGACTTTGAAAAATCAATAAATCTACGATCAGTAATTCAATCTGAAGTGTTATGGTCTGAGTGCTTATAAATGAATATGGCCCATGATATAATATTTTTTATTGACACAACACTGACGCAGAAAGGTTCAGCAGTATGGTCGTAAAAAAAAACACTAAAACTAAGACATACAAAATACAACGTACTGAATTCATGGATATGTTACTAGTATCTAAAAATCAAGACATTTGATTTATACAGTACCTAGATGATGAAATGTCATTTTTCACAGAAACATTGGATTCCAGGCCATACCTAAGTATGATCTGGCCTCCATGCAGTTATAGCAGCTCTAATTAGCCTATATGTTCCACTATGTTATAGCCAAGGAACAGCAGGTTTATGCAAAAAGTAAACATGCAGTGCGTTATTGAGGCATATTACTTAAAATGACACGTGATACATTCGCATCCAAAACAGAGCAAATGTATACACACATGTACATGTAGTAATTTCGAAATTAAGCTTGGAAGTATACTATAGCTCACAAATGGTGAATGGTTTTACAGCTGTACCTTCTTGAACATAACAGAAATATTAAAACTGCGGCAAGGTTGTAACATACAAACCTAACTTTACACTTACCTGTACCCAGACATGTAATTTAATTTTGGAGGGAAGGGGTATAATTACTATCAGGCGGGGCGTCCAAGACAATGGCTTCTTTCCCTGCTACTAAACACGATGCCTTCTCTACAAACCTACAAACCGGACATACAAACCTGATGGATACTACATATGATATACATGTACTAGTAGTATGCAAAGCAGGTGTAGACAACATGAAGCCCCACAGCGTCTGTGACAGGGGATCATCGCCTGCTTAAGCATTGTCAGTAGAAATTGATTTTAGCTTGACAGTTCAAAACAGTTCAAGCAGCGTACAACTTAATGTTTTATTTACTATCCAAACTGCATTTTTTTTGTCCTTGGCTTACTTCGTAATGACAACGTACAAAAAGAATTGGCAGTATACATGCAGACTTGACTTGCATGGCATTTGGGTGCCCTCAGAAAAGCCTGAAGATAACCACACACACACATCAGTGTTATGGCTTCTGCGTGCCCGCACAACTCTCCCTCACACTTTTGAGATACTA